GTAAAAATAATGACATTCCCAAGGTCTCCCGACAAACAAAAAAACAGTGGCGCGTGTCTACCTGCATTTGAAATTCACTATATACTGGGAATAATTCAGATTACCCGACTTGGGTACCCCCTCATTTTTTTCATTCTGATGGTCGTTCACGAGTCCGTAGTGTTTTCCCTTATCCATTGTTTGTCTAGCATAATTCCCGGCACATGCATAAAAAGTATTTTTGTGTTTTTTACATGCAGCTTTCAGATTAAGATAATATACTATGTATACTGTTTGGGTTCTACGCAGCTATCTACCGCACATTTGTGATACGAGAGATTCTTTTCGGACTATTGCCCATATAATAATATAGAGTAATAATCGGGCACCATTGATATAATATCATTGACAGTGACTTATTTACCCTAAGGGCACGCGGAGCACGAGCCCAGGGTCCCCAAAAAATATCATTTACATCTTAACGTTTTTTTTTCTGTTTTCTTAAAGGGCCCCTGCATAGCCTAAGACGGCCCTGATCATTGAATTCTACTCGGCGATAATATTATGACGCTATTACTAGCATGGCTAAAGTGGCTTTGGAGTAGACGTGTTTCAAATAATATGTACGATGAGTGTCAAAATGACAGCGATAAACGCGAATATGGCTTTGCATAAACTTTGAAGACAATCGCTGTAATAATTATTTGAAAGAAACGTCGGATAGCTTATAAAAATCGTCTTGTTACACTCTAAGGCAGGTTTGTTATACGGTTTCGTTGATGATGACGTTGGGACGAGTAATGGAATTATTCTTTTCCGAGTCAACATATTATTACATTTGAGAAAACGAAACACTATTACTGGAATGTAATTCGATTTTGTTAAGTTCTAAAAAATACTGCTATTTATTTTTATGTCCGAAAGTCGTAACGAATTTTACCGACGGTGACAATGATTTGCAAATTGTGCTCGAGTGATATACCGCAGTGTATTAGTAAACACTCACATAAAAATACACTAATATTACCTCTAGGAACTTAAAGGAAATACTATACGGTACACTTTCAGGTATTATTATTATTTTTGCCATCAACAAACATTGAATTATGTTGCAATTTACGTTTCATATTCGTTAACATAATGCGATATTATTGCTACTGCTATGTTTTTGTATTACTTTTACAAGGTTTTAGTTTTTTAAATAATAAAAACATACTCGGCGTACCTTGAATAACCATGTTATCATAACATCAGCTCGTGGCAATATGTGCAATATTTCTTTTCTTTTTATAACTAAAATTGATATGTATCAACAATTAATACAAAACATATTTAGATTTTTATTTGTAATCTGTGTATAATATTATATATATAACACTATACAGGGTTCAATTAACGTTAGGCACTCATTTTCTCTTAAAATAATTGAAAAATTGTAATTTTTCTTTATGAATACATTTATGTTATTGTACAATATTCTAAAACCACCAAATAATTACCTTTTTTTATTATTTTTCAAAGCGCTATCAACTTTTGAAACTTCAATAGGAAGATTTACATTTTATGAACTTTTTATATAGAAGAATAATTGGCTGAAAATGTTGACTGGCCGATAAACAGTTTTGAATTATTACTTTGAAAATATTAGAGTTTAAATTCCACGATGGCTAATTAAAAAACGTTGAATATTTCGCGCAGATAAAAAATAATATTTCACTCCACCTTTCCTGTCGTCCTATACTTTAAACTACCAGTATACATTTTCAGCAAGTTATTCTACTTTTAAAATGTAATTTTATTATTTATGTTTCTATTTAAATTTCAAAAGTTGATTGAACCCTAGAATGTATCAAAAAATTCCTTTAAATTATTTTTTCTGTTATGCCCGTTTTTTCATTTCTCCATAAAGTTTCGGTAACCCCTATTATTGCTGATTTTGTAAGTTTAAACTTAATACCTTAACCCTAACCCTTACCCTACGTGAACTATTCAAACTTTGTACTTTTAACATAACGGTTTTAAACACTTTAATGTACATATATTATTATAGAATTCTAAAGAGTGTGCATTTCCTTTCTTGCGATTTTAATGCTGGTGAATTCTGAATTAACGTTTTAAAATTTTTTTTTTTTTGTTATTTAAAGAATATTTACAATCTATGCTACGAGCCACAAGGCATAATAAACAAATAGTTGCATTAATAAAGATATAGAAAAAATGAAGCGATGATAAAATATGAGGAGGGAGGCCATCGAGTGATAGAATCCAACGTGGTTTAAATTAACGTTCGGAGTACTTATTATAATCTTCAGTTAACAAATAATTTCTGGCTATGAGGTAATCCTCATAGTCAAATTAACATATTCACATTATTATGCGGTCTTAAAATAGTTGCAGTATCTCAATTCTCGTCTAGGAAATATTGGACTCGAACAAACTTTGTGTGCTCTAAAGTTTTGCAGATTATCTGTGTTTTACGGTATACTCTACTATAAGTGCCACCACTGGTATAGTAGTAGCTAACTGTTTTTACTTAAATGTATGTCGCTATAATTTATTATTGACGGCGTTGTTATGCCCTCTACATGACCACGGGGTCCACAACAACACTAACAAAGCATTACCATTTCGATAGTTTGTTTATTGACTAAGTTGAGACTAAATTTGAACCTTCAACAATACAGACAATACGGGCGTTGTGTGTATACATAGTGTTGAACCCTATACTATCGGGTAACATTTATTATAGTATGTATTATAATCTACAGAACACAATAAAAAAAAAAACAGTTTTGAATTCTGAAGGACGTGAACGCGTTAACGTGATGAATGATGATAATTTTATTCAACACCATCAGGTTAGGTCATCTTCACATAGCGTTTTATTTTCATTCTTTATGTTAGTATTGTCTATTAATGGAAAACTATAACAACAATCAACAAAACGGATATTATGTGTCTTTTATTCGTGTACAAGAGCTTTCTCGTTTAATTTATATTTTCCTTATATTGGTAATATTATATTTAAAGTTATACACAAAATCGTCATGCGCGTATTCTAATACTAAATTATATACATCACTCGCATTCAAAGTACCGTGTATACCTACTGTATAGGCGCATAGTGTATCGTAAAGGATTTCGAAAAATATAAGTATTAGAATAGAACTAGTCAGGCATTCGGAAACATTATAAAATAATAGTTGCTCTTTTAGATGACAGCGTGGGCAATTTTTTTAATACAATATAAATCAGCCAAGTCTTCGTGACCTACACGCTTAGCACAATAGCTAGACAACTATACAGACTTGCGCACTGTTTCTAGATATTATGTCTTGTGTACTATTATTGAGTACCTAAACCCAATATATACGTGACGAGTGATTGACCCAAAAGTTCAAAACGCCAAACAATAATAGTAGTTAGGTATTACTATTGCGTTGGTATCCCGATAGAGTAAAAAATCTGATTATTCACGCGCGTACCACTAGCCTGCACTAGACACGCAGAGTTTTCACCGTTATAAACGCATCAGGGAAATCGTATCGAAATACAGGCACCAACCCGGCCATACAATTTTCGACTCATACAGCAAGGTAACCCGATAAGTCTAAAAACGAGCGCATCGCGTGCCTTTGACGAGCTGTTGTGCTCTAGACGCTTTCATATTGCCGTCTTAAATCAAATCTTCTGAGCGTTCACATGTGCCGAGCAAATCGGTCGCAGCCGATGATCGTATCCACGGTTCCGAATTACCTCATTACCGGCAGCCCTGCGGACACAAACGCATACAAATGGATAAAATACGATTTAACTATCGTATAAACACACTGATCGCGTGATGCCCTGTACCTGTGATGATCAACGCAAAAAAAAAAAATATTGATATTTTACGCGTTGTACTGTTGTTATACGACAACAGTAGTTTCTCGGGATCAACAAAATGTATATTAACGCAAAAAAAAAAAAAGGAGGGTAGAGGGAAACACGGATTTCGATATAATAATTAACGCGGCGAGATTCGATTTTCGGAAATCCGAAACTGCCGGGCGTGTGTCCGGTTCATTGTCGGCGGCCACGGGTTTACAGTGCAATCGACCAACGACAAAAAAAATACTCATTCATCGTGTTCGGACTGCGGGGAGGTAATAAAACAAACAAAAAAAAAAAAAACAGAAAATTAGGCAAAAAAGTGAAACGAGATACTTCCATTAAGGCGCGGCTGTGTAATGTAATCCGAAAAATTAATTACACGGTCGCACGCGTTGATTTCGATAGCGTTGACTATTATCATATTATTATTTTCTCAGCCATACGCCAATTATAATAACGGTAGCTGCCATACCCTCGTCGTACGCCCGTGAAACCAAATACAGAGTTACAGGATTATGGACGATATAATATATACTTCGAAAATAATGACGATCGGCTAAAATGGTAATAAAGGCTGTATATAAGTTGACAATTGATCATAGTGAATTGGGCTGAATTTATCTAGAGGCCGATCGTTGGCCATAATAATATATTGCATGTTTCCGTCGGTGTCCGTTTTATTCAAAATTAAAACACATTATTTATTTACGACAAACGTAGATAATTCAACAAATGACGTTTTACGGACTAGCCGGGATTTGGATGAGTATAATGTTTTGTTGTAGCGCACAATATGCATACGCCAGACGTTTTTTGCTTGGTGCTTTTGTAATGAAGTAAAAAAACAAAAAATGTTGTAAAACAAACATAATTATTATTTGCTCGATTTAACCTAACTACTTTTTTGAAACTGTGAAATTCGATTATATCTCATGTTAGCAATCATGAACTCCCGAGGAAAATTCAAACTTTCACAATCATGTGTGTTTTGTAAAATGGTCGATTCTGAGAGTGTTTGCCATGAAAAATAATATTACAAGCTTCCGATCCCCAATAAAATTAAACTATTATAAAGCGCATAATATATTATATAAATAGCTTGTTTGCTCGTTTAACTGTTTGTGTAACGATCGATTTTCTTTTTACAGAAAAAAACGCATGAATAAAAAATGAACACAGCAACGCGGACGTAATGGGGCAGAATAACAGCTATGGCGGCAAAGGTCATTTTTGTCAGCTCAACAGCCTGTGGTCCATCTGGTACGGTCTTATAGCCACCGTGCTGAACGTTTACTCCGTTCTATTAGCCACTAGAAGACTTTCCGGTAAGATCCGACTGTCATTAAACGTAACTGTTATTCACTGTACTGTAGTATAGGATGGATTTATTTGAATTCATTCTCCAGAGTCAATATAAAATCAGTATTAAAGAAGTTACAGTGTATACAGATAAACACAATCAGAGTCCAATACGCTGCATCGAAGCTAAAATAACTGATTAAACAAACGTCCACGCTCATACTAAGAAAACTTAAACAAAATTAAGTAGTATAAATGATGTTATATACAAAAATGTTAGTATGGTAAATGCAAGTTTCTACGCTCAATTGACAAAGTTAGTAAATGTAAAAATAGATTCTTTAGAGCTTAAGTTTGTTTTTTTGCCATGTTGTTTTTATAAAAAAAAAAAAAAACGTGATAAAACATTAGGGTGTTCTCGTAAACTCGCATTTTTAAAACTAATTACCATTTACTCCACTTTGACTGTATGGCTTATGACAAAGGACTAAAAGCATTTTGCTCGCGTACTCGGTGTGTTAAAACTAAAAAGAAATCCTCCTTTCGACACCTTGTTCGCTTGCCATGCTTACCCAACAAGCAACAGCTACCACTCAAAACGTATTATATATTGTACATTTACATAAATAACTTTATCCAAATTTCGGGGTCAATGCTCTGGTTGTAAACTCATTGTCAGTAGGATCCATTAGCGACGGGGATGATCCTTGCAATATGTAAAATCGAAGGAGAAAGATATTTACCATCAACAAGGAGCAAAACTGTGTGCTGACAATGATGAGGGTAAAATTGTGAGTTATATTGTTGTGGTAACGCCTACGGCGAGTGGGTCACGACGGTTGTCAAATGAATTACAAAAAAATATGAGTTTCGGGAAAAGAGTTGTGCGACTAATGTAGCGAAAACTACTTAGACTGAAATAAAAAAAAAATATATGATTTCTTTCGAGCGTTTTAAGTGCTATTTTTTTGTATATACATGTTTATGTGTATATGATGGAGATTAAGTTGTCGAGACTAGAAATGGGTGTGGTGAGCACACGCTGTTTATATGTTGCAGTTTCACTATGTTATTACGTAAAGGGTTACCGTGGAATCGACTTACTTGTTCATTGTCGACGACCCTCGATACTTGAGCCAGTGCTCTGTTGAAAACAATGTTTACCCTGTACTGTATACATAATACATATACAGTCTTATTGTCGGAGCTGTGCGCGATTTCAGGGACCACATCTGTCCGTGACGTATCCAAGCGGCGGGCCTATAGGGGACAATTGTATAGATAGATAATAACCGTTCAGTAAGTGTTTTGGGATATAAAATGCATTCGTCAGCGCCGTTGCTACGATCGAATCTTCGGAATTGAGTTCAATTTTAAAGCTAAGAAAAAACAAATAAATTACTTTTGTTGCTACGACAAAGTCAACACAAATTGTAGTTATCTGCCGAGATAAAATCAAATCTTGCCGTTTTTTGTTTTGCCAAAAGAGCCGAATACGCACCGAAACGCCTTTACAAAATTAATTAGGACCTTTTACTGCTGTCATGTTACCGCCGGCGTCTTCAGGTGACATTTTAAAGCAGTCTTGCGTCTAAAGGTAACAAGTTAATTAACCGATTGGCCGGTACATTATTAATCATGACCTAAACGGCTGGCAAGCATCGGAAAAGCCGCAAAAACCACCGTCCTATACCGCAGCGCAAAAACATTAACGCCAAAAAACGTGCGGATTAGTTACACATACACTTTATTTATGGGTTACCTAGCGTGGCGTGAAACAGTCCGGGTTAAGAGGGTCTGAGTGATTGATGATGTTAGATGATGTTGAAACGCGAGTAAAAGGCTTAGACGATTTTTTGTTTAAAAAAAAATATATATTACGAATCACCAAACACAAAAATGAACTCTGCGCAGAGAGGTCGGAATCGACCAGTGAAAGATATTGAATATTTGATTGTCTTTTTAAAATGTAAACATTAATGTTCTTAACGCTTCGTTAAATGTGGTTTTTAAATACTTAAATTTAATTCAGAATCTTGCCGACCGTCATGGAGCTTTATGGGACTAGTGTTTATGCTGAGACTGATGTTAATACCGAACGTTTATTAAGTATAACAATATGCGGGCCACACACACACGCAAACGTATTAGTTCATTATCATAATTGTATTATTGAGTTGTACAAAAAAAATTAATTAAATAGCTGACAATGTAAAAAAAAATGTTGGTACGCATAAAACAATTTTTTTTAAATACTTACGAATTGATTCGATAATATATTTGAAATGATAATGTCGATGTGGCAAAATATAAACTCGTTTTAGAATTAACTATGGGTACTATTTAACAGGTTGAGTTTTACACACATTATTCACTTGAAAAGATTATTCATAGTTAATTCACCTTTCAAATAAGGAAAACTTTATAAATAAAAACTTAATTATAAACAAACAATTTATTACAGCGAATAAGTATTTGAATATAAATTTAAATAATATTGTTATAAATTAAAAATCCCATAATTACATAATATTTGATTTTGTCCTTTTAATTTTATAGTAAAAAAAACTTTAAAAATTGCACATATTTTGTGTATTGATTAACTAAAAGTTTTACTGACTGCTGTCTCGTCATCTGGGTACCTGATTTCCATTTTAGATGTTGCACTGAAAACTGACCGTAGTAATACACATTTTTATTTAACGTACGAAAGTTGTAGAAATTCCGCGAATTTCATTATAATGTCAGGTGTTACACACCTTGCGTTTACACAAAGGTATTAGAGGTTATTTAAGCTAAATTTTAATAAAACTAACTACTATTACTATTTACTTTTTTTAATACAATTGAAATTTACCTTAAGTTCGATATTTGTCCCTCGACAAAGGCGTAGGCCGCCTACCTAGAAAGTACGTTGAAGAATTCAATACCTTTCAAGCTACCACAGAATTTTGGTAAACAGGCTACCCTTGTTTAGATGATGACACTTTTTGGAAGTTTTTAGGATTTTAAAGGATCTGAACTTTCCGAGCCTCTTCTAGCTTAATGCTATGTCCCTCATAAGTGATTCATAGTTTTCTTGTATTTTGCGTAGAAAAATACATGATATATAACTTACTGCTTGTTTACAGAGTACCTGGAAGTAGTATGGCCGCCCAAGAGTGTACTGCCGCCCCGTTTCGAAGTTCATTGTTTCGTGGCCACCATCGGCATGGCCGCTGTTTTGGTGCCTTTAGTGGCATTCACGGCAGCCTTTCGTACCGGTAACATGGCCAACGACTCGGAGAAACTGGGAAATCTATTAGACATCCGCCGACGTCGCCTGTCGTCTTGTTGGACCCACGGCCCGCCGTCGTCGTCCACTCTTCATTCTTTTACCGCGCTGGCCTTGCTCGTCGTCAAGCTTATGATCGAAGCCAGAATGCTGCAGGCTGGTCTCTTGTCAACAGGTACAATCCTGTCAAGTATAACATAAATATATATATATAAGATTATCATCTATAGAGTTGTCCATTTAACTCGCTTGCTTAAACTTCTCGCAGATAAGATCTGGAAGACCGACTTAGACTTCCTGGTAACCGGCGGACACCACACGGTCACATCCAACTCCACGTTAAAACTGCACGTGGAACCCAAGACTCAATCGGTGCTCGTTCCGCATTCGTTGCCCTCTGGTAGATCATGTAAGTCATTCGCACGCGCGTTACTGGTCCATATCGGATTTAGTATTGTCTATGACACTATTGCGGCTGAGATAACTGATCTGACATATTTGTTGATAGTCTACCTTAATTTTCACCACCTAGTTTCACCAAACTTCTAACCAGCCCATAACGGCTATAGTTTGTCGCCGGTATGTAATGAAGCTGACGGTAATTCGGTGAAATTAGGCATTAATAAAATATTTGATTATCACCACGTAGGCGTAATTTGATTTCAATGCGAGACATGCTGTGTTAAAGCGACGACTAACGTTTTATGTTTTTCAGATACTTCCGAACACGACGGTACCATGTCTGTTGAGTTTTTCAATTACGCCATGGCCCTTTTCGTTTATTGTGGCCGCTACGCTTCCGTGTTCTGGGAGACGAACAAATGTTTCGCCACTCTTTTCTCCGTTCAGCTGTTCGCCAACGCTCTACAGTGTTTGTCGCTGTACCTTTTCACCAGTATCCTATACAAGGTGCGAATTATATTTTGTTATTGGCGTAACGGGCGCTTTACACAGTTTGTATTTAATTGTAACACGTGGTCGCTTTTACAGATGCAAGTGCTGGGCGTTAGCAAAATGATTAAAGAACTACCGGCCGGCACCAGTTCGCACAGCTTGGTGTTGGACTACTTGGACACCGCCGTGCTGTTCACCGTCACCACGGTTCTCATATTCGTGTCCAACTCAATAATTTATTATTACGGATACTCGCGGTTCAACACTTACGTGAGACGACAGACAGGCAGCTACCATAAAAGCCTTACCGACGCGTACTCCAGCTTGATGCCGTACTGTGCTAGCGTGCTGACCCTGTTGGCCGTCATAGCCACCGAGAGCCCTCTGCTGTACAACGCCATAGTGGTGTTCCGGTCGTCCCTGAACGGCGTGGTCTTGGTGTCCCTGTTGAATTCGACGGCCCACGTTTTCGTGTGGATCGCCATGTGGTCGGTGCTGACGCTGAAGCCGTGCTGGAAGTTCAACTTGCATCTGTTTCTGGAATACGACCCGATGGATCACGCGGAGGAACCGGAAAACGACCGGGTTCCTACGCTGGTGGTGGCCCAGGGAGGGACGTACTCGTTGACGGAGAGGACGGCCAAGCGGATAGTGACTTCCGTGGTGGAAAGGGTGGTTATCGATTACACGCGAATGAACTCCGGTAAGTAACACTACTGTCTTATTTATCGACTACGAACGCGATTGTTTCGAACAAAAAGCACAATAACGGTTCGATTTTGAATTTCAGATAAACAAAGAGCGAAAAGAACGCCGAAGACGATGAGCGACGAACAGATCTATTGGCCCAGACCGAAATCCAGTTCCGGTCGAAGCTGCTTAAGCGATATGGACGACTCGGATGAACCGCCTGCCGGATGCTTTGGGTGCATACGGTCTAAAGGATCTTCAAAGTAAGAGCTAAAGCGTTGAAACTCATTCCGTTGTGCTATAAAATATGTTACCACTTTTATAACCTACTTTTAAGTATACGAGCCTGAAAGATTATTGTTATTGATAACGTTCCCACTCACTAATGTTTGTTTACTTTTTCTTTTATCCAAAATATAACGTTATTATAATGTTCTTCTTTTTCTTTGTCTTACCCATACTAATAGGGTCGACCAGCCAAATCCACTCCTGTTACAAATTTCTACTCATCGTTATATCTTAATGCACCCGATACACCCCTGTGTCTTTACTTACCACATTCACCCACTCCTTCCTTGGACTACATCTACCTCTAAATCCTTCTCACCGTGATTTATCTAACTTGTTTTATTATTTTACATTCCTCCGTTCTTTCTCGAGAAAACTATATCAATTTGTTTTCTCTAATGTTTTCTACTACTTGCAAAATTCCCAAACTTCTTCTAATATACTCGTATCTTTAAAAATAATGTTGAAGTAATATATATATATATATATAATGTGTTATTAGAGCTCTGGGAATTTACATATTTTAATAAGAATTAAACTCGACCTGAATACATCTTCCTACATTCACCAGCAAACTTTGCACTTAAACCAGCCATTCTCATATCACTGTGAATATTGTTTTAACAATACATTGTTTACTCAACTGTTTTCTTTACCTCTGTCTAATCCAATTAGTCCCAATGATTTCGAAAATTATTGTTTCTTTTTCTTAATAAAACGTGACCATTTTATTTCAAATTGCTTAATTATTAATGTTATTTATTTATTTACTTTTTATTAATAGAAAAAAAAACAAGGTAGAGTAATTATTATTGTACTTAAAGTAAAAAGTAAATGATTTTTTTTTTCAATCGTTGAATATCATACTGTTTATGTTATCAGAGGAATTCCATTGGAAAAGGTCCCCCGAAGAGGAGTAAGTCCCGAAGACGATGGTGATTATGCCAAGTTGAGAGAACTGCCAATGATCCCACGTCCAAGTGTCAACGACCATAGCGACGACAACACTTCAGAGGACACAAAGGTATTATACGTGTATGCATATTGCATATGTTCTATTAGTATTTCATGCCATTTAACGCTTTTTGGTTCGTGCAGCTTTTGGAAACGGTCCGAGAAGGGGTGATAACATATGCAAGTGCCAACACGAGAGAACTGTTTTATTCTCCGGCCACTCCACCACCTCCACTGCCACCGGTTGAAGATAATATAAGCTCGGCAGCCGAGTTTCACGCTAGCAAATCCCAAGTAAGTAAAACGTCAACACCGGTTTATATCGTTTACTCGACAAAGACATACTATGCATAAAAATTATTTAGATTTAGTTACAGAACTTCGTGCACATGTATTTGTTACAATATAAAATATAGTTTGCAATAATAATAACGTCTAATTTTAAGTATTTATATTTATTTTCGTACACGGTATTTTATTTCTCACGTTTAGCACACCTGTTTAATTATTCAACGTTTATTTGAACAATTCAATTTGTATTTATTGAAATAAAGCCATATTATAACATACTTAAATGCGTATAGTCGGTGTACACTATTTATAATATTACTGTAACGGTCGTGTGATTATTTTTTTTATCATCATGTTTTCAGGTGAACAAACAAAATTATCCTATTTACAAATCGACCAACACGTCCTGTCTCAAAATCAGCGCGGCGGTGGACGACTTCGAGGAGACTAAGTCTGAATCTGAGGCGTCGGCGGCCGGTCATTCGCCACAAGCAGCGTACAGCGGCCACAGCGAGTCGTCCAGTGGCGTCCATTCGAATTCTAGTCAGGAGACGGCAGCCACTATGCCTCTCCCACCACCGCCGCCGCCACTATCGCCGGACGAACGCCGGCGGGCCAGTTACGCCGAGCTACCCGTGGATACCGTGGTCATCCGGCACAAAAGGCCCGGCGCCAAGGCTCGCATGCCGCCCGATCCTTGTATGCGTCCCACCAACGTGGCCCTCAGCTCTTTCACCGAGCCCAGAGGAGCCCGCAACCGTCCGGGATCAGTTCCCAGTTGGAAAACGATGCCGCACAACACTCCGCCGCCGTCGAGGGCTCCGCCAGTGGCCGCCCAACAGTGGCCGTCCACCGTCATACGATCCCGGAACCACACCACCATACCTACTCACCACAACGGCGTCAGGCTATTCAACCCTTCGCATAGGCAATAAACTAAAACCATTCCTAAAACATAACTTGTCGAAACAATGTGTCCAATCTAGTCCTCGTCGTACTCGGCCGTAACTCTAAATAGATAATAATAATGTCATGGAGTTAACTCAACTGCCATCAGAGCTCAGTCGTGCTGCCATTGTCCACCTAATATACCAAATGAAGTTGAAATCGAATTCCCAAATATTTGGTAACCGTTACTTAACAAAGTCCTGGGACTACCTCAACACAAAAAAAAATATATATATATATAAATAAACGAATTTCTCGATTCGAACAAACTGGTATTTTTTTTTATCTGAATTTATCACCCGATAGACTGAAAGTAGAGTGAATTATGAAATATTAGTAGTGGTTAAAAATACTGAACCCGTCCTTCCTATAAACTGTAAAGGAATAGGATAACACAATTCTTATTAAACTATATATGAATAATTGTATTAACGTTTTTTTTTTTCTGTGCGTTTCCTATTGTTACTTATCGATTCAAACAAACAATATATCCAGTGCCGAATATAATATCGTTAATTCGGAAAATTTAAATAATACAAAGGGCAATATATTTTAATATTTATACTTTTATAGTAAAAATAAGCTAAGCACCGTCACGTGACCTGTTAATTTGTTTGTAAAATGTTTTATGTAATATTATTATTTTGTTTTAAAACTATTTAATTTCTACCGTAGACCTGCAACGTGTTTAGATTTGTATTGATTTACACCGACTTACATTCAACTATGAGAGATGAAAACGAGCAGTCATTAGATAAGTTATTTGCTTACAAAGTATAGATTTCCAAATTGTATACAATATTATACTATTAGACTGTACAAAATACTCATAGGCTAAGTCAACATCAAAATATTTAGGCTATTTGAGTCGACGATGGTAATAACAAAAATTCCAATTTTTATTAAAATATCGATTCGGTTCGTATAAGTTTCGTCTCGTTTCCTTTTTTATTACTTCAACAGACTGTTGTTATCCTTGGTGCTATAATATAACGATTATAATTTAACATTCAGGCTTTTAATCATTGTTCTCATACACAATTTTGTACATTATTGTTCTATACATTTCTTTTATTTCGTTTTGTAACTATAAAAATGATGTACTTTTATACATTATAATACCTTTGTATTGTTTTTTTAATATGATTAAAAACGTGTGCTTATATTTATTATTTAATTAAGGGAATACATACATATATACATCTATATTTATTATATACATAATCGTATTAGATAACATTTATCATCATTATTACTATGTATAGGTATATATAATTAAGATTGTGCGTATTTAGAACGTGAAAAATAATAAATTACTCGTAATATCGTTTGTATAATTCCTTGTGAGTCTATCCGTCAACCGTCATTATCGTTTTACAATAACTTATAAAATACAATATCCATTATAATATTTAATCATTAAATAAAAATCTAAAATAGGATCATTATGTATTTTGATATCAGATATGTTGTGTTTTTATAATTCTAATAAAACAAAGATCTCATTTATATTTTCGACACTACATTTTTGTTTATATTATTATTTCCCTTGGTACCCACAGAGGATTTATTCAGAACAATGTATAATTAACATTGTAATAATATATCTTAACATTTTCTTTTTTTTTTTTGGTTTGTTGAAAATATTATGAATATAACATTAAGAGGATTGTAAGCGGTCGGATTTTTTGACGTTTTAGATCAAAAGACCTGGAACAAATTACGCATACTTGGGGTGGTTCGATTTCAGCTAAAATATTTGAGTTTATCGGCCTTGTTTCTAGGTTATTGTTAGAATCGATTTTTGATATTTCAATTAAAATCGTGTTTAAATCATTTTTGATTTTATCAAATTTTCAGTACTCACTTTATTGGTTTTTTAAGTAAATGAAATATTATTTGTTTAAAACCCGACTTCCACAATAATCTGGAAAAAAAAGTCGACGAGCTCAAATATTTGTACAGAATTAAAATCCGATCGTTCTTAAATGGGCGTAATTTTGTCGGACTTATAGGTCTAAATTGGTTTTTGGTAGGAACAAAATGGCTTTTAATCGAAGAAAAAATTGTATGAGTTATAATTATTATACCCTGATGCGTATACAGATGAAAATAAAAAAACCTGAAAATAAACTGACATGGTGAACATTTGTTAAAACCACTTATTTCTTAAATATTGCCTATATAAAACCCCTTAAAAACCCCCGCTTTCAAAAATCTTTAATTTAAAAGTTTGAAAATAATTCGCGTATAATTTTTTTAATTTATAGTATTTATCTAAAAACATGCTGAAAATATTGATTAATATAATTTTTAGTTTGTGAATGAGTATGAAAAAGAAAACGGTGTACTTTCAATTCAGATTGAATAAACGAAAATCATTTTTTTTATTATTAGTGTATATAAAGTTTCTTAATTTTTATGATTTTGTGCCCACCACCTATTCAGAATTTATATGTTAGACTATTTTGCTAGTATAAAGTATAACGGGTGATCCATTTAACGTAAAACGTTTGCTCGGGAAATATTTGAGTTTCAATAAGGCGTTGTCAGTCGTATCTATAAAATAAAGCTTGAGAGCCGTTTTCGCAGCTAATGATGTGCAATGGTGAGCAGGTCATGTATATTTATAAAGAAATGCGGATAAAATTGGATACGACGTTGAACATTTTTTTTTAGTGTTTTTGAACAATATTATAAAATACCAAATATTTACATTTTTTTCAAGAAGAATAATTTTCCGAACATTTCTACTGCTAGATAACCAGCTTTGAAGTTTCAAGTTTAAGAAGAGGAGTGTAGTGAGTTTTGTTTTTTTTATCTGCGCGCATTACTCAACGCTTTTTCACCTTTCATCCTAAATTTTAAACTCTAATTATTTCAAAATAAATTATTCAAAAATAGTTTTTGAGCAAGCAAAACTTTCACCCAATTGTTCTTAATTTTAAAATGTAATTAAACTAAACTTTCCTATTTGTTTCAAAAAATGATTAAGCTCTGAAAAAATACTTAAAACAGCAAATACTTGGTAATTTATTGACTATTGTACAATAACATAAATAAAAATATTTTTTTAAAAAGAAAATAGGTACTATAAAACTTTAATTATTTCGAGAAAGTTATTGTGTTGTACATTAAATGGATCACTATTCACCCTGCATGCACACATAAATAAGTTAACTACAATGTACGAGTGTTTATTTAAAAAAATTAGGTAATGAAAAACATAATTTTATTTGGTAAGGTACAAATTTGTACCTATGAAATATTCTTTAGATATAGTAGGTTTATATGTTTACAGTATATCGCTCTGAAGACGGACTATGCGATGAGTCCGAAACGAAGTCAGCAACAAATCAGAGACATGAAACATCCTAATGTTATCAATAATACTATTAGTTTAATAATATTTTAATCCATGAAAGAATTAGCACATTTATTTGATAACACGTAATAATGTTTAGAAATGCTTTCAATTCTCTTCAACACTTTTTACACGATGCCAGTCAAACCAAAGCCCAGAATAATTGTTAAATATATTTATGAAATATTAAAATACATTTGATTGTTACTATTATTATGTATTGCTTTCAAAATGTTATCTCCTTTAGATTTAATTATGTGTTATTGCGCTGAAATCGCCAATGAACCCCTTAATACGAATAGGGATATAATAAAATTCGAGCGCCATATTTTGTTTCTTTTATCAATAGACACATTTGTTCATCAACAAGTCATAATCATCACTAAGCTCTGTGTTACGGTTAACAAAACATTGCAGGATCGGTTACGGGTTAAAAATTGTATTATTACTGGTCGAACTGCATAACGGCAAACAAAAAATCATTATCATCTAATCCATCTACTATTATTAAAATGTGTTTGACAGCCGTCTTTCAACTTTTAGAACAGTTATAATCAAATATTGTTATCGATATTTTATGCTAATGAATGGCAAACACAATGTTAACCTTCACCTGACACATTTTAAGATTTGTTTTGAATGTGTGAAATACAAGAATCGGATAGCTACTTAACATGTAAACGTAAACTGCATAGGTACGAGTACCTATATCAAATTATAAACAAACCACTTGGAGTAATGATGTTATAGAGTGATCGATTATATTATAATGTACTTGGTGATTTATGTAATATTAAAACGGGGTTAAAAAATACTAAAATAAATGTATTGGAAAACTGTTGTGTGTAAACGCAATATAATATATTGATAATTAGACGGTCTCGATGACTTTTGAAAATCTTTACAGCCAACAAAACTCGAATACATACTACCTAAGTAGACTGCCTGCTTCATTTAAAGTGAACAATACTTCTCAATGACTAAAGCATTTTGATTACAATGGTGCGATAGTAGGGCATGGCTGTTAGCTCCACTGTAGCTGTAGTGAATACCTATGTAGTTCATTGTAATTATAATAGGTGTGTGTGAAAATTACTCGTTAACTATGCATTAAGTCCCACAAGGCATTATACAATATTTCACCCAATTGATTGAATAGAACGCAAAAGCTAAAAACGCATACAATAAAATATCGTTTTAACAAATTGTCATCATCTCTTACAGTTTTTACAATAAAATAACAAGCATTGTGGGTTTATCGGTTGCACACTCAGTTTTTACACACACAGTACATGAAGTTAGAAATGAGACATCGATAGGTGTACAAATCTGTTGTTTTTTTTGGTAAATATTTGCTTCACTTACGAAAACAATATTATACCGGGCTGTTAATATAGCTATTAATGCGGAGTCTAGGTAAAAATGTCCGAGAAGAAAATACCCGTGTACAAAAATGTCAAGAAAGAAAAATGTTATTTACAGACGTCGACTAGACAGTACCGGTTGGACAGGGTTGACGTGGGCCGCAAACGCGCGTTCGTTTTGTAAACACAAATTACCTACCGTACTAGTCCGTCGTGGTATCGACTGTCCATCGTCTTATGAATAGGAGGAACCAATGAACACGTTATCGGTCCCAGTGCCAACAGTTGTTGTAGCTGTTATTAGGTTGTGCCTTGTCGATCTCCACTCCCCCCAGTGATACACTATTTATCCAAATGAATTGAACTAAAAATTCATAGTTCATCACAACGTAAATGATATTTGAATATTTGTTTGTTACCTTTAATCGATGATTGTTTTAGACCTCATAGTGTATCAGAACATGCGGATGTTTCAACAATTCAATTTTCTATGATTTCGTAAAGTTCTTTTAATTAAATCTTCATTTGGCATCTTTATTAATCTTGCCTACAACAAAATACTCTCGCGGGATTCGTTTGCGTGCTTTTGTGTTAGCCTACGCGGAGATATTTATTATCCGATAATGACTATTGAATGATATTTATTTACTTTAATTTCAGTCAAACATTTTGCTATAGCTTCTCATTTAGAGTCTGTAGGGTGATTGTGACATTTTAGTAAAACGCGTTTGGCACAATGTCATCGTATTTTAGATTTTAACTTATGTTGTTCTTCGTGTTGTTTTTTTTTCATGATATTACCTCACCCATTATTAAAAAAAAAAAAAAAATAGTATTAAATAAATTAAAAGAAAGTGGAAACAATAACATCCTAGCAAACATGGGATTTCGTTAACATGGATAATTTAATAATAAAATATTTTTGGACATATTTACTGGACCGCATTAATACGCCATTTAATAAACGTTTACGAATAATCCAAATATAAACACATGTAACGAATTGCACAAATGTAACATTGTATTCTAACATTATAACCGTACATTACTGTCAATCGTCTGAATATTTAAAACTGATAGCACATAATGTATACCATTAATCGCCTTAAGGAAAAACGTACGTACACCAAAATAATTTGCTATTTATCATTAATTCTTGACAGAGTTCCCGAGTATGGTTTGTTAACTTCCTTGTAAATTAAACACATTTCGAATCCAATAGCGTTATATATATTCTCAGTGTTGATTATAAATGGCGACGATATATTCACACACCTTATTAAGGATCCAAGTATAGATTTCTATACTAACCTCTCAATAATACCTCTTGTTCAATCCATTTGTCTTAATAGTGCAACGCCACGTCTTGTTTCTATGAAACGTGAGCAACGGTATCTTCTTGCACCATCTGAAATATTCTAGTACATAAATCATAACATCTAATAAAAGACAATACAAAGAGTACAGCTCTACCGAATCTTTTTCGGGAAGTATTATAACTATGACAGTGATTTAAAAGATTTACTTGTATGAACGCGATCACTCGTCAATTTTGTAAATCGTCAAATCGTTTGTAAATTGCAAACTAACTAAAACAACCGAATGAACAACAAATAGAGCAAGTGAATAATAAGTAAGTGATATTTAATTAAAAGCGAAAGAGTATACTTCAATTCAACTTTTGTTTGTTTTATAGTATGTGTATATGTATGCTAATGCCAAGTATTATGTACTGAGTATTACATTTGAGAATATATGAACAAAACTCAAGCCACATTATTATTATTCTGTAAGTACCTACTATACCCAGTGATGATATTTTAGTCGGCACGTCTTTGTGTTTTCAATGGATCCGTCTACAGTAAAATCATTATTATTTAAGTAGAAATCATTAGTGAAGTGTCAACAGTCGTTAATTTTCAGTGTTAATTTAGAACCGTCTATATGCCTTAAACGGTTGTTATTTAAAAACGTTTTACTGTATTATAATTTTGGATTAGGCTTCTGTTTAAACATGTAAAATAGAGATTTATTATAAACGGTCGGACACATAATTTTAGATTGATAATTCATATCTAAGTACTAGTTATTAGTAGAGTTACTGCTACACACTACATAATAACGATCTTATAATTATTGGTAATACGATAAAGCAAACCACATATTAATACTATTTATAGAATATTCGTATCATATGCTTCGAAGATAGACTTTAAAATTGTCAAGTAACTGACCCGTTGCGTGTTAAACAATAGCTGAAAAAAGCACTTTGACAAAATTAAGCTTGTAAAATGATTTGGGAACGGGCCAAAGAAAATTAATTGATAGAGGAGTTAAATTAGTCCAATAAAAGGAGTTACAGTTGCAATAGTTTCATTTAGACCCTTATTTTTTCCAAAAAAAAATTGAAACCACTGAATATTTTACAAAATATTGCTATAATTCGATTTTAAAGTTAAACAATACAATTTTATTTTATTTTGTATCTCGGTCGATTAAGTCGTTTAAAAATGTTGTAATTTAAAATGACACTGTAACGATTTTAAGACATTTCTATCAAACAATTTTTAGCCTTTGAGGGGGTGTAATTATATTGAACGTCAAATTTTGCGGGACAAGTTTTTTATTTTGATTAAAATAAAACAAATGTTTAGCATAATATCGGCCATTACATATCAGTCAACAAAAGGACAACGGCATGTTTTTTCTTCATTATTTGCATGTGCATCAATTGTTTATAATACATTTTGGGCCGCATGCTGATCTAGAAGAGGAAACCGGAACCCCTTAGTCAGATACTGTGTTTATCGGAAAGTCGTACAATTAAAAAAATGCAACTTTAAAAGCGTTAGATGCTCAAATAAAAAACTACTGGGATTTGATAATAAATATATGAAGGGTACAGGGAAATCAACAGGCGTCACTTTTTAAAAATGGCCATTTTGTTGTTATAATATTCGTTTCGATACGAAACAAATCTGTCCTTTATTTTTCAATATTGTTAAAAACAAAAATTGAACATTATAGATTTCCAATTAAACCTAGTACACATGGCACAACAGTCGCGTATCTTTTTGCAGAATTGAAACGTGACCACTTTAGTAGCCAATGTTTTGTATGCTTAAATTTTCATGTTCCGTGTGTGGTGGTGGTGGTGGTGGTGGCGGAGAGAGACGCAAAATCACCGTTTCCGCAATTCTCTAAACGTTTAATATTTAAATATAATAATACCAAATTTAAGTAGGTCATAATAACGTACACATTTGTACACAATTGGTGGATAATATTTATTGTCGTCCGGTTTTTGAATGTTTATACGAAAAACCGGCTGCGACTAGACATTTTTATAACCCCGGATAAATAAATACAAGCAACGGGGTACCGTATTTTTCCATTGTCTTCTCTTTGGAACGAAACTTGAAGCTAAAGGGGAGATGGTAGGTAGCAAGCGTAATATAGGTAACGGGCGACACTGGCCGTTCAACATAACGCAGAAGTTTGCAGTGGCCGTAGACGACCGGTTCTCTCAACGGTGGTGGCCGTTGCGACTTAACCCGAAGGCGTCCCGTGACGCGTGCGCCGCCGTTGCAGCCTTCAGCCAGTAACGTCTCGAGGCGCGGTGCGCGTGCACGTAGATAATTCACGCCACCTCGCGCGATTCCGGTTTCTATTGCCTTTCTGTTGTGTTGTGCGCGCGCCAGTTGGATGTGTATTATAATGGTCCGGTCGCGTGTGTTTTGTCCGACCGGGGGTGTTTTCGAGTGCGCGTCAAACATTGCACACGTCGTATTATTATTATAATTGTTGTTGTTAATTTATTCGGTCGCGTTAAACCGGTTGTTGACCTCGGGCGCGAGCGAGCGAGCGGCAACGGTGACCGCCCCGGTCATCTCGGACAGTCGCAAATGTCGTTGGACCCGGCCGCCGCAGCCACCGCCACCGCTACAGCCGTCGCGACCGACGACGCCCGCTACCACCGACATCTGCACCACCGTTACCGGCACAAGCGACCGTCGCCGTCGCCTCGACAGACTCCGGCCAACATCACGGATGTAGACACTCTTCATCCCGTACAGGTCAGTGCGATACGCGGTACGTCGCGTTGTCCAAACAGACAGTACCTTAACCGGCAACGTAACACAACACGGGCGGCTGCCGTCGGTTACCTCGCGGTCGAGGTCTTCCCTTTTTTGAATTTGAAATTTTTGGGTGGGTGGACCATGAAATACCCGTAGGCGGTTTAGTTGAGTGGTGACTGGTGAGTTGTTTGTTGGACTCACTTAAGAAATCACATGCTTATAGTTTTATTTACAACATTCAAAACCCGCCAATGCCAACTTCCAATGTACTAGGTAGGACACTGAACGTAAAACTATGTTAGTTTTACTTAATGACGGGTTGCACAGAATTCATTTGTATCTGTTCCAGTGACGTTGCTTCAAAAACGGGTTATGGAACTAATAAAGTTTTCTATAGCCCAGCAAAAAGTCTTCTGTCTTAACTTAACAATTTAGTAGGTAATAACGTATTTTGATAGGCGTTTAATGTTGTAGGTGTATGTTATACGTATACCATTAACTGTTTATCGTTATAACCTCTAAGAAGACAATTGAATGTAGGTAATTTTTAAGATCTTTTGGAAATGGTTCAAATTGTTTTACTTTTACACAAATTGCTTATCCTGAAAACATGACCACCTACATATTATCATGTTATCAATGATTTGAAAAGAACATCAGCTGTACAGAGGTATCTTGTTATCATTCTTGTCTTATCGTTTATATTATATCCCGTGATCAAACTAGTGCGAGATCGGAGTAGCATTTAAATAGAAATGGTTGGTTTTCTTTGGTCTGTGGATAATACCGGTAAAACGACCGATTACCAATTGTTACCAAAAGGCTATAAAAAGTTTTTTTTAGCTTAATATTAAAGCGATTTGGCTATAATAGCTCTTGTCGCGTATATTAAATTAGGTTTTAGATTTGTATTTGTGTTGGTACTTATACATAATGTAATAAGGGTTTTAAATTAATCTTATAATGCATTGATGGCCGACGCTTTTCGATCGGGAGTTAAGGCGGTATACAGGTACCCATTTTTCGATGTAAAATCCGGCTCTTGCGTGATTTAATAATGTAATTATTATAGCCTACTGGTTATTAATGCATTTTAGTGTTTTACATAATTGACGAACCATCTACGAATGATTTGTTGTGCCAACCGTCCTGCACATCTATGTAGAAACTCTTTCCCTTTTGAATTTTAGTTGTTTTTTATTCATCTTGTTTATCAGTCATTCGGAACTGTTTGATAACCGACTATTACGAGTCTCCGCTGTACACTGGAAAGTACCTGATAAAAATAATACACCGCTTGCGTACGATAACTTTTCGAACGATTTTTATTTTTATTTTATTAATGTACCAGAACACATATTTAGCGGTAAAGAGAAGAGAACTCATCTATTGAGTTTGCGCTGTACGATATTATTAAACAAACGGGTGTCAAAACTATGCAAAACCGTAAAAAATATTTAAAGTCCTTACAGCAGTTGCCGCTCACTATAATAGTACCACAAAATAGATTAAATTAAGTTTATAATTATGTAGTCATCAATAATTAGTTGTACGGACAAAATATGTTTGCAATATGACAACGGAATACGGAGCGTCGTCGAGCATTTCTATTTATATAGTAATAATGTTATACGTCCAAAATAATCCATTACTACTCTATCTGATATAATAATAAATATATACAATTACACTAGTATCTAATGATGAATAATATAACGAGTGATACCTGTATACTATATTTATACCGTACTCGTGCTCGTTTAAATAGACACTATAATTTTTTAAAAAAAACCCAACTCCAAAAAAACTAAACAGAAATATGGGTTCAGGACTTTTAATATGTACATAATAAACATTTAATTTAGTCTAGTGTCATCTAGAGTTCTTAATAGTGATGGAAATTAGAAAATCCGGATTTTCCCAAAAAACGCTTTTTTAGCAATTTGAAAATATAATAAACACTGTATAATGTATACATATGCAATATATAAATATGTGTTCAAGTAGGGGTCTTGATAAAAATGTAAAAATAAAGGCTGTATACTACTTACGTCCCAAAATAAAGATATATAGTATGCACCGCGAGTGGGGCGGGACGCAACTCACCCTCTGATAATAATTTTGGAAGCAAGTAGTATGCTCCTACAAGTAAAAACCAATACCAAAAACTGAAAAGGTATATTGATTTTGGATATTTTTAAATCCGAAAATCTTAATCCTAAGCAATTTGTGGTCAAAGTTGAGCGTTTTTTTTAAACTTCTCATCGAACCATACTAGGTAATAGGACAATAGGTACACAGCTTTATAGTGTTATAATATTTAGTATTTATATAATTTTTAAGTAGCGTTTATCTGTGAAAATCCGGATTTTTGGATTCCCCTGATAATATTGCGAATTGCTTTGTTTTAGTTAAGTATAATTTATAACAGCTATAGTTTATCATATTTTTTTCAAGCATATTTGTATTATCTATAGATAGATCTATATAGATTCTATATGATAACTTTAAAGTTTCAATATCGTTTTCATTATTGAACATTTTCTTTTGATAGATTATTGCAACTTGTACTTACTTATTTTACTAATGTGTAAAGTATGAACGCTTCCCAATCAGCTAAGATAAAATTAAAACTTAAAAAATATCATAACAATTTATTTTTATTTTTGTTGACCGTAGACATTTTATGGCAACTTAAGAACATTGATTTGTTTTTAACAAAGGACGTATATTTTGGGAGATTATAATAGAACCAGTGGCTTTCCTTGGATCTCTAGCTAGATCTTTACAAAGCACCTGAACTTATGAAAGAATCAGCTATATTTTACTTATACATTGGTTTAAAAAAATTGATTTGGTTAAATTAAATCATTCATTGATCTTAATATGGACACTTTTGTACTTATTCAGCGTCTTTTCGGTTTACACGGGAAGGTTGAATAAGTAATTTCAAAGAACGCCTACATACCACTGCGCCTCATATAAAATTTAAGTTGCAATACTGTAACGCAGTATGTATTAATTTTTATTATGCGCAAAATATTTGTATTTATATGTATAAAAAAAAAAAAAAAGAGTCGGCTACGGATACTTAGATAAGAAGAAACGCGTCCGGTGCAAGTGTGCAGTCATAACACTAAAAAGCGAATACTCGGCAATGGCGTTTTCCACGAATTAAAAAATCAGCGTTTACAAATATTTGATTCTCACAACGTGTGCTAATTTTCCAGTCATAAACACGGAGGCACAATAATTTGTATTATTTTCTATTATGATTTATGAACCGATGTATAAAATTTTATTTTAGACTTAGATATGCGTATACATAGACTTTATAAGGGGCTAAAGTTTTTTTTTTAACCTTAAAATTATACGCTTGACATCATTTATTAATAAACAAAAAAAAAACTATGACTAAAAATATGTATGCTAAGTTTTTCAGTGCAAATAGTTTATGAGTAGGTATATAGTTACAGCCACGTGCTATTGAGTATGTCTAGCTAATGCTATTGCTATTGTACGGTCGTTTCGCATGTAATTAAATCCACCAAGTTTCTAAAATAAATACAATATCTTGTTAACGTAGGTAATCACGAAAACTTTTGGATTAACGTCTTATTTCGCTTTAATTGTTAAGCTGCTGGCAATACTAAATTTGATATTTCTTAATTTTAAATTACCTTTTAACCGAACAGTCAGTTATTACCTACTATGCTTGTAAACAAGACAATTGATCTTATTTTGATTATTATAATAATGGAGATATTTTTTATAGAAACCATCATCTCATGATAGGCAGCGTTGGGCCTTAAAGGCCCGTTAAGCTTTTTTTTAAAAAAAAATTTGAATTAACTAAACGCTTTTTGTTCTCCTGAAAATGTACCAATTTGGACTTATTACCTTTACATTATAACTTATACACATTTTCCTACCTATTTAACTAAATTAAGTTTTCATGTTATAACTACTTTTTATTTTAGATTTATAATATTCTACTAAATCACGCTGAAGTTCAAATCCAGGCCAAACAATTCTTTGTTCTTACAATTACTATCATTGGCGCCAAGAGTTCACGTCTTGTAATATTGAGGCTGTCTTGATTATAGATATTATTATTTTACACTTTATTCGATTTACCACACAAAAGTGATACGGTGCAGGTTAGATTTCCCTAAAAATAAAAAGTAACGGCGCTAAGTAGTGTCTGTCCAATTACGTTTTAATGGAGTTTGATCTACAATGATATAATATATTTATTTGAAATATAGGTACAGTATATATGTATATATGTATACTTTACTTGAATTATCTTACTGTTTGTAGTAACATATACAACTGTAATGTTCAAAATAATTTTAAAAAAGACATACAATTTATATCGTGTATAAAAGCTGTGGTGGGTATTTTATATTTTTAACGGACCATTATACGACCGTTGTGTAAATACTTAATAGGCGTTTAAATATACTAAAGCAAACAAGCGCATACATTATAATATTTATATCTCGGAATGCTCTTCGGATGCATACCAAAATAGTTAACGCGCACGAATCGACTTAAGTGAGTGTATAGTAATAAAACAAATTATGTTTTTTTTTTTTTACAGTACACGGGATCTGTTGCGGTTAACTGTCACGATCAGATGGCACGAGTCGAATTTGTCAGGAACCTAATGGCCAAACACAGAAAGGTATTTTTTTATTACTTTGTTTTGTTTTAATAATTATGTGTTTTTATGACATTAATAATATGGTTCCCGTTTGGAATTTATTCGTATGCGAATTAACATAATATAACATACCTTTATATGTTCTGTAGTACTATAAGTTATTATTAGGGCAGAGGACTTCTAGCATTTGCATATTTGTCTTACGCAGCCGTATAAAAAGCCAAATTTGTTTTAGGTTATGACAAAGCCAAATCTGTAATTTTATGTTGCATATTTTTGCATATTTAGGTCTTTTTTGCTTTTTGAGGCATTTTTAAGTTATATATGCTTTTTAGGGGGATTTTTTCGAACATTTTCTTTAAAAATTATTTATCAAAACAATAAGCAGTAAAAAATGTCTAAAATATTGGAAATTTATTTTTAGGGTCAGAAGAATGAATATCAAATTATTAAAATAAAAAAATCAATTATTCAATATGCCTATCTTTAATAAATCATACATTAATTACAGTATAATTAAGTCAATAAATAGTAAAAGTTTCATTAAGCCGAAGTTTTTATTATTTTATTGGTCGTGGACTCACAGTATAGCATATACATATAGTTTAATTTAGTCATTAATTGTTTTTCTTATTTTAAATGTTTTAATTAAAGTAATTAATTTGTTTAATTAAATCGCTAAAAAATTGTTTAAAGTATTGCATATTTTAGGGTTTTTAAGTGCATAAGTGCTTGCATATTTAGTGTTTTTTTAGAGCTTTAAGTCCTCTGCCCTAGTTATTATACTAATACTTGCTCTGTACATAATATACATGTTTTCGGTATCAATATTAAAACCGTGAAATAGAAATTCTGAAAATCGACTTTTTTAAGGGTAAAATCATGGTTAGACATTATGGCAAGTGTGTTTGATAGAGTTTAGGTGATTTTAGTGTTAAAACTCTGTTTTCAAACTGAATAAGTATAATATTATTTATGATGTCAGCATCTGAGCGAATTTATTTTTGTTAATAACATTCGTCAAGAAACCATCTCATGATGGCAGCGTTGGGCCTCCATGGCCCGTTAAGCTACATGATAATGATATATATATATATATATATAATAACATTACAGATATAAAAACAATACGTTTTGCATTAAATTAACATTTTACTGAACGTAACCTAAACCGATATCCTCAATAAACAGGGATGTCCCTTCATTTAACTCTTTACTAAGGTAAGTACACCGTATATGTAGATATTATAACCACATCACATTTAAATAGACGTATAATACAAAATAATTTAATGAACCAATGATTCGCATCAGTAGCACCACTACCTATATTAAAATATATTCAGATACTACAGGTAATTATTTATTGGAATGTTTTTGGAATTAACTTTATTTTTATAGTCTTGAGTTTAATGCCAAACATTATTTTTAGGTTACCACTGTGTATTCCTTCTTATGAATTTACCTTCTTCATTCGAAACTATGGTGTTGGATTTTATTATTTGAAATGTAATTTTAAGTATTAAAACTTACAGTGAGTAAATATTCAAAACAAGATAAATCATACAGGAGAGAAAATCATATTTTCTCAAATTATACAGTTTTCTTATATTTTGTTAAAAATAATGCTTATACAATTTAAAATGTTTATAGAGTACCTATATTGATACGGATTCATACGAATTGGCGTAATATGTAATACATACTAATTTATACTAAATAATAAAGACAAATTGTACATTGTATATTTTTTTAAAGGAATTTTATGTCTAATAACTCAGTTTAAGTAACCTACCATAATTGATTATTTTTCTATTATAGTAGGTACAATGTTTCAATAATTTATATAAATATATAAGTAGTAAAAATTGTGCAATTTGTTTGTTTTGCGTTGCTTGAAAATGTCCACCTAACATATCTTTATTTTATTATTTATGAATTATGAGTCTTCCCACTTTAAAAATTGTTTAATACACTAACGCTGGGTTGCATACAAAAATAATAAATTGAATGATGTATTATAATATAATGTACCAATCACAAGCCACTAAGTTATGTTTAAGGAACCACTAAAAATAGATTGATTCATTAATCCTTTGATGAACGTTTATATGCAAGTATGCAATCCGATATAAATTTATTACTTGGTGATAAATTTTAAGTCAACTTCTCATTTCCTCGAAAAATAGTAGCAAATTTTCAGTTTTTCTTTTCGGAAACATTTTTTTTTAGAAGTTTTAATAATTTTAACTTTAAAGTTTACAATTTAGGATGGAAGCGAAATGGTTGAAACAAGTGTCAATTTTATCTGTGCGTTATACTAACTGTCCTCACATTCCCGTCCTACATTTTAAACTAAGAATCATTTTTCTAAGCATTTTATGATTAGTCAAAATTTGTCGCAAATTATTCTTGATTTCTTCTTATTCTTCATGATTCTATTTTATCGAAGGTTGGAAATTATCATGAAATTATATGATCTTTGTCCTTTATTTATTTATTTTTAATTTAAAAAGATAAATTAATTTGCGTCATTATATTATAATATATTTACGATAATTTGTAAAACATTAAATTTCTGGCTTAGATAAAGTATAGAATATGTTTAGAATGTTAAAAACATTAAAATTTTGGTGCTACCCCCAGGTATTGTTCGAAAATATAAACTCGTCGTAAATAGGGAAAGAAAGCAATACAGTTTGTTACCCGTGTAAGAATTTCACAATAAGTAGAAAAACTTTAACGAATTAATAATAAGAGCATAATTAAATTCAAAAACTTTTAATTGGCACTCGACTAAAATCGCAAGAGCAATATGACAATATAAAACTTGAGTGTACATACGTTTGAGTGGTCTGCTGACCTCTATATAAAAATTTGAAGTGATAAAGGGACACGAGAGCGATAAAACTTTTTATAGTACAAACACAATAATATCTCTATTATATAAAAATCAAGTTCTTGACAGCTTGTTTTTCCGCTCGCACCCTCCTTGTAAATATTTCTGACTCAATATTTTGCGAAGAATAAAAACCATTAAACATTATAATTAAGTATAAAATATATGTATGAGGCCAATTATAAATTTTATAAAATATGATTATACCCCTTGTAGTTAGGAGTGTAAGGCCTTTAAAAGACCTTTTTTTGCTATTACTATAAAACAGATATTACATTTAAACAATTCATCTGCTTATTGTGTTTTATTGTATTCCTTAAAGTTTATGTAGATTTAATTTTTTTCTTACATTAAAAATCTGTTAGATAAGCGGATAAATCGTAAACTATAAAAAAACATATACTTAGAAGAATAAAAAATATAAATGCTTTGTTTAATAAACTTACATTTTAAACCGTGTTTTAAGACTATTGTGTGTTATTGTATTAATAAATGTTTTCAGATGTTTTAAAAATCAGTTTTATAAAAATTAAAAATTTATAATATTACCGGTTACGTGTACGTCATATTACGACTTCTACGATAACGTCATGCGCAAAGCTATTTCAGCTTATTATTAATGATAATTGATAATATTTCATTTTAATACTTATATTAATAAAATACTCTATTTTGAACCTTAAAAAATGTTGTATACATCATGTATTACATATAGTATGCTCTATAAAATATTATATAATAAAATAAATTTTAGTTAAACAATTTAATATGATCAAAAAAGGGTTTTCTTAAAAAAAAAATGTTTTATTAGTTCAATATGAAATTATTATTCTGCCTTTAAATTGTCAATTTTATTAATCATAAACATTACATACTCATACATTAACAATAAAATTACTTTTTATCCAAAAAGGCTTTAAATAAAAAGCAAATAGGCAAATAAAAATACACATATATGTTCAGGTTTAACTATATTATTATGTATACGCAAATATGATGCTTGTACACAGTGACGTATACAGGGGAGGGTTTTGGGGGTTCAACCCCCCCCCCCCCCGAAATTTGTGGTTGGTACGGCACATGTGCGAATTCATTTAATCAAAGTTAATTTATAATATAAATTAAATCTATTCTTATATTATTCCCCCCCCGAAATATATCTTATATACGGCACTACTTATATACGGTTAACATTCTTTTTTTAGAAAGCGCTAGATGTATGTAATGTCTTATAGAAAAAAAATTACATAAATTATTTATTTTTCATATTCATTTTAAAGGTAATCTTAATTTTAATTCATTTATTCATTCAATTTTGAATTTAAAAGACGCTTTTCCGATTAGTTCTCCATGTTAACGTGACTACGTAGCATAATAGACGTTAGTTTTGTTTAAAAAAATTGTATTTAATCTTAACTGACGCTATTTATTTTAAGTGCCTTATTTATATTTTAATTCCGTCAAGCTTAACTGTGCATAATTACCCATCATTTGGTATGTCTGCTCATTCCAAACTAATTATAGTAATCGATCTAACTTAACATTTTTAGATTAAGCAAAGCTCTGTAAGGGTGTGAGGTTTTCATTGAAAAATTTGATCGTTCACAATATGACATTTCATATACATACATACACTGTCCCATGAAAATAATAATAAACAAAAGTAATATTATTTCAACTAACGGAGAATCATATTTCAAATTATCACAGTAAAATTTCCCGTCGCGCCATTGATTTTCAAACATTTATAGAGAAATGCTTATGCCGTTTCTCTAATGTACAACCCAGCATAAAAGAGCGCCATGAACACAGCTGTGGCTGCTACGGAAAAGACAATTCCTTCCACTTTGAATATGTATCCCAAAAATTGTATCTCTTCGTATTCTAATAAATTAGAGTTTTTCATTTTCTCTCTCTGAAATTAAATAACGATTCTAATTGAAAATGACTTACTTGAAAATATTACATCACTAATATTTTACTAGCGTAATTACTAATTATAGACAACAACTACAATCAATTGATAAAAATTGTACTTCTTCAATAAAAAAATCTTAAAAGTCAAATATTTACTTATTTTTTAAAGATGTTATTAAGTTGTTCATGTGAACAAATTAATAGA